GTCCGTGAGAAATATCCGGACTTGTTTGTTGATGTGTAACCATGCATTGGTAATTTTGTAATATCGTTGAACTTTAAGAGCATTATATATGTCTTAAGTTGTAAAACATTGTGAATGTTTTGGTTAATGGAAATTTGTTATAACATTGCATATGTTCAATGTATTGTAGAAATGGAGATATATCATGAATGTTGAATATGATATAAAATTGTGAAACATGTATGTAGAAATTATTGAATTTCGGGAAAAGCATGTTGTTGATACATATTGAGATATGTGGTGAATTGCCTCTTGAATAGAGATGAAAAGACCGGTAATGGGTTGAGTTGTTAAATTTTCGCATTGTAATAATGTTGGGAATTGAGAAAATCTTGTTTTTGAAAAACCTGTATCTAATTTCGGGGACGAAATTCTTTAAGGGAGGAAGGTTATAGCGATCCCAATTTTCCCTTTTTATATCTGTTGTATTCCGGACTTTGGTTCCGTGGAGCTGGTAGTTGTATCTACCTTGTTGTCATCCTTTGATTCCATTTGTTTGAGTTATAGGTTGTGTTGGGCTTAGTTGTTACAGGTTGGTAGAGCTTTGGCTCCCATTGTTGTTGCCTAGTTTTTGTATGGTCCGCTCGAGCGAATCATTCTGTGCTCGAGCGTGGTTTACACCCTTCCAGTATTTCGTGTCCCTGCAAAACTTCTGCAGGCGTGTTTTCTACGCTCGAGCGGGTTTACTGCGCTCGAGTAGGTCGCGCTAGAGCGGGCTTGTTGGAGCTCGAGCGGGTAGTTCTTTTTCAAAAAAGTTCTGGGATATGAAAATCTACGCTCGAGCGGACTGGTTTTCGCGTTCGAGCGGATGTACTTTATTCTTGTGTCTTGGCGCTCGAGAGGGCCTTCTTGCGCTCAAGCGGATCTAGTTTTTTGTTCTTGAAGCTCGAGCGTTATGTTTTCCGCTCGAGCGGGAATGTCGTATAACAGAGGACAGCTGGGCATTTTTTAATCATTTTCTACACTTCCTCTCTCTCTTTTACTTTTCCAAAACGCCATTTGAGAGCTTCTCTCTCTCTAGAACCTTGCCTTCTCTCTAGGTATTGATCTAGTAAGAATTGTTTCCTCACCTTTAGCCTTTACAAAAAAGTTGTTGATCGTCGAGGGCTATCTTTTGATCCAAGAATCTCGGGATTTGGAGCATTTCCATTTTCTTCATCTTCTTCGTTGGGTGTCAACTTTTCAGGTAGGGATTCCTACTCACTCTTATGGTCTTTGACATAGATTTTTGGTTGTTTTGATAAAGTGTTGAAGTTGGGAAATTTTGGGACTTAGGGTTTCAAAATGTTAAAAGAGGGTTTTGTTATTTTGATTCTAAAATGTGTATTGTGGGTTTCAAAATAATGATATCGTTGTTGGTTGTTGATATATAGACCATTGGGTCAATATTGGGAAATGGGGTAGAAAACCCTAATTGGTTGTATAAATTAATTGGTATGATTAATTTTAAAAAATTGTGGTTATATGGAATTGTGTTAGAAATAATGAAATTGGCGCATTATATAGTAGAATAGTGGAGTTGGATTTATTAATCGCTCACTTTTGAAAACATTGATATTTTATCTGTTGGAGTTTTTATTATCTGTTTAGAAATAATTGCTTGGGCTACCGGTGGAGGGTAGTTTTGATTGTTGTAGACAATGCATGATGATTAGGCAAACTAAAACTAATCAATTGAGTATGTCATAGAGTATGACGGTTGATAGAATACATTAATGTTATGTATTGATTGATTGTGTATATGACATATGTGTATATACGTTGTGTGTGCGGGAGGAGATAAGGATGTACTCCACGGTTTAGGGGAAGATAAGGGATGGACCTCTAAACTGAATGTTGTTTGGGAGGAGATTGGGGATGGACTGCACTGATACAGCTCATATGCTTGTCAGTTAACGTGTTGATATAGCTTATATGCTTATCTATGGAAGTGTTGATACAGCTCATATGCTTATCTTTGGAAGTGTTGATATAGCTAATATGCATATCTGTTGAAATGTGGATACAGCTTGTATGCTTATCTGTTGAGATGTTGATACAACTAGTATGTTTATCTATTGTAAAATGGGAAACGTTTAATATGAGTCACTGTCTCATATAAGTGGTTGGCCAGGTTCTGAGTCGTTGATGTAAATTGTGGAATTGATAAGCAATGGAAAATGAAATGAAACATGAACACAGTGGTCAGAGGGTCTCTCGAGGTTATGAACTGACATTTTGCACGCAATTTATTACGCTATCTTGCGCACCTCATTGTTCAGTTTTGTGCACACTACTTACATTTTGCACGCAATTTATTACGCTATCTTGCGCACCTCATTGTTCAGTTTTGTGCACACTACTTACATTTTGCACGCAATTTATTACGCTATCTTGCGCACCTCATTGTTCAGTTTTGTGCACACTACTTACATTTTGCACGCAATTTATTACGCTATCTTGCGCACCTCATTGCGCAGTTTTGTGCACACTACTTAGGGCATTTGCTTTTGTTGTTAACATGTAATACTGTTGTAAGAATTACTTTGATGAATAGAAATGGTTGGTTTCTTTTATATCAATGCATGTCTATAGTGATGGGTTTTATGTATTATTTTGAGGGCATTACATCAATCATGTTATTAAAAAAAGCAAACTTTCAAACTTTTTAACTAACACTTAATACTGTATTTGGTTAGGAGATTTAGAAAGTGATTTGAAAAAAGAAAAGGAAAATGTGTGTGAAACTAGGTGAAATATAAGTATATTTTATTCATATTTCACCTACATTTTCCGTTTCCATTTTTCTTTCCAAATCTCTGAACCAAACACGGCGTAAAGAAAAGGTGTTGGATCCATGAGATTTGTCCGATTCACGTGGAGGGATGCTTTACGTGAATTGTGAGATTAGTCGAGATATGTGTAAGCTAGACTCGGACACTTAGTTATGAGGGGAAAAAAAATAATAATTTGTTCGACAATAATTCATCCCACGTGATGTAAAAACTTGACCCATGATCATCAATATAATAAGAGTAAAAATTAGAAAAATGTTAAGGACACTAAATATTTTACCAAATATTCTATTAAATGTCTTACATGGGTGTGGAACCCACACCATGTGGGTCCCGTGTGAGACCTACTCCCATGTGAGATATTTGGTAAAACATTTGGGGACACCAAATGTAAAATATTTGGTGAAAAATAATAAGTTTAACATACATTATTTTTCACCAAGATTGGTAAATTTTAAATGTTTTACCCTTGGTACACCAAATGTTTTATCCTTTAGGCCCCGTTTGAGCATGGTCCCAATGTTAATCAATTTGCGTAACATGAACTAAGCATGGCAGGAATAAGAGCAGATTTTGGATTAGCAAAAATATTACAAATAACAAAATTTTACCTGTCGCACAGCAACCAAATATTTGATACCCAAAAGACTCCCATGTCGAACTTCCCATTCTGGTCTACGTTGAAAAAAGAGGAAGACAATTAAAGCAGATGATACAGTCAGATCATATATATCTTCTTTATTGCAGTACAAACAGCAAGACTGTCACAAAACCATATATCTAATATAACTATAAATAATAAAAAAACAGGCAAGTTCTTAAGATAGTATTTACCTGCATTTGAAGCAAGATATTCAATGTCTCATGAACTAATGAGGAATGCATGTACTTTAGGACAGCAACTAATGCTTGTGCACAAGTTTCTCATATTGGAGCAACAACCTGATCAGAGACATAGTCTCCAAAACTGCAAAAGAGAGAAATGAAAAGAGGAAAAAAATTCATGTAAAGACCTTCAAGAAAACTTCTCTGAACCATCACCACGATATTTGCAATTGACTCATGAATCAAAACTATAGATTATTATTATGGACAGGTGTCAATTCCTATCAACTAACCGAAAAAAATCAATAAGAAACTAAAGTTCATGACTGGAACCCAATGGAAAAACAAATTCATAACGGTCTAGTGACAATACACACAAGAAACGAATCGCACAGTCTTGAAGAAATTCACAATTTTTAAGCCAAGAATGCCTAGTCACTTTAACCAAGTTCATCAGCACACAATTTTCAGGAAGACTTTTCAGTGTATTCATCTTCCCCATTGAACAATTATCTTCACAGGAACCTTTGCCTTAGCCATATCCGGATATTCATGACTATCAATGCATGATTGAGGCTCTATCTTAACAGAACTAAAATTAAGTTCACAATTAGTTGGTGCAGCAGACAAATTCCTTTCGCTATCTTGAACCTTTACACAGGCATCAAACTTATCATCCCCACTGGCAGAGATTATTTTACTTGTAACCGTTAATGGAGACGATGAATCTTCAACCTTCGGCCTCTTCAAGTTTGGCTCAATCTCATCTGCTGGCACTTGCATATTCAAATCAATTTCTCTTTCTCTCTTCACTGTCACTTCAAGACCTTTATCTTTGGTTTCAGAAAATGGATCATCAGAACTCAGGTCAAGCATATAAACTCCCGCACATGCACCCTGATGAATTAAAATTTCTCTTAGAGCCATGACACTACCATAGCGAACCTCCCAAACTGACAACATATAATCAGAGAAACTCTTATTCAGTAAAAATAATGCTGGAAGATCAAAATTGCAGGAAAGAATACACAAGAGCTTACCAGGATCAAACATATCAACAATGAGTTGTTCGACAAAATTATGGAAAGGCCAACCTCCATCTCCATCATGCTCAAAGTTGTCTTCATCAGGAATAGGATCCGAAAATGGCTGCATTAAAAGAAAATTTAAAACCAAAGTTCATATAAGAAGATATAGCACAAGGAAATTAAAAGTTAATTCTTGTTTCCTTTTGTTTTCTATGTTGAGAATAATTACAGTCTGAGAATAAATTTGATCCAAGCAGTATGGACACAGACACAAGATCCGAACTAAAGCACATATCATAATGGTGAAACTTATGAATCACATATCATAATGGTGAACACATAGACAAAAACACAGCAAGAGCACACAAACGCATCTCTATTGAGTTTTTATAAGTATTTAAATATCTAGAGGTAAAAAAAAAAAAAAGAGGACAATTTCTGAAGTTTGCTCCAGTATATTTAGGATAAAGAAAACAGGTTCAATTTCCATTGCAAAAAGTCATGTAGCTATCCCCAAAATGAAATACAACTAGTTTGAAGCTAATAGACATGTAAATTACAAAAACCACTTCTAAAGGTGATAACATAATGCAACATAACTAGCGAGAAAGAAATGAAAATAACTAGCATACACCGGCAGCACCCAAATACTATTTTAGTACCTTATTAGAGATTGATGAATCCGGACAAAAGCCCTTTGGCGACATCATATCGTGACAGTATGTTACCTCCACATCTTCATCCTTAGACCAACCTTTCGTTTGATCTTTCGAACTTATTTTTGCTTTTCATTTTAAATGATTCAGTTCCCTAGCACTAGGCCTTCTAGATTTGTAACTGGGTACCATATTTGAAACTAGTTGCCGGACATTGTGTACAGAATGTTGAGTATAAAATTGATAGGGTACCCCATTCCCATGGGAGTTAAATTTGTGCTCAACAAGGTCTTCATCTCTTATCATGTCATTGACATCCATGAACTGCTCACACATATCCAAACTTGCACAAGTCAAATGTTAGTGGGAGAAGTATATGCACATAAATTTATAGCAAATACATCACTTAATAGTCATGAACTCACGGTGAAATAATAGAAGGAAAACAGATATTTAAAATAAAGAAATAAATAAAAACAGTTCCAAGGTTTCAAAAAAAAAAAAAACACACTAATTTGGGGCAGAGAAAGGCAATAACAAACAGGAGATAAATAAATAAGATACTTACAACTTCTTGATGTGGGTGTCTAGAAGAACAATAATAAAGCCATCCACATACCAGAAACCATTTCAAAGTAGATAAAAGATGCCAATAGACTAGAAGGAAGAGTCTACTAGTAGTCATACCAAAACCCGAGAGTTATCAATAAAAGAGCAAAAGATATATCTCCATATCTAAATAAAAAAGCATTAGATACAGTCAAGACAACTACATTTTGGAAACTTCATAAGATTTGGACTCTTCAAGTGTTCTTAAACATTATAAAAATTATACAAGCACCCAAATTAAAATATCAATAACAAACCCAATTAAAGGAATATGCCTATATCGCTAATCCATAATAAATAAATGACAATGAGAACAAACTTACCCAATTGGCGTCAGAGATTTTGCTTTTGATGAGCCAAACGCTCCCTTGGGTTCTTCATGTTATCACTTGCAATATCGTACTCCTAAAGAGAAACTAATGTGAAAATTCAAAATGCACTCAAATTTGTTTAATGTACAATTAAAGGGGCTAGTACCACCAATGCAAAGTCACACAAAATGTAAGACAAACAATTGATTGCAGAAACCAATACCAATAAGACTGATAATGCACATACCATACCAAACCAAACTAAGCTCTGTGTGTCAATCAAGTGGGGTCAACTAATGCACATATCATACCATGACTATTAAAATCAGTTTCAATTTGGTAATTAGATTTCTTCTTTTCTTTTTTTCAATAAGAAACAGAGCTCAAATGTTAAGTTCACTAAATAAGATAAATGCCTGAGAAATAAACATTGTGCTACGAATGCCTTGTGTGGCTCCATAGAAGCGCCAAAAAATGAGAAGAGGTCTCCACCATCAACTTCAAAGATGGTGTCCAAACCTGGTAACAGTTGTCCATCAATGTCGGGCATTGCAATTTCCAACTTCTTCTTTGAGCAATCAAAGACAAATAAGAAGGACAACTGCCAAAGAATTATTTTCTGATGTCATAAGGAAGCGTTTCATTCAATGCAGGTAAAGTAAGTTTCTGGTGAATGACCATAATAGTGAAACACTCATCATTCGTCACATTGGGTTTGTAATAACTCCCCCTCAAACTTGATAACAAAACCATAAAGAATAAAAAAAACAAAATAGAAAAGCACTACAAATGGAGGGCCGGAGGCCAAGAAATTTTGTTCTTTGTATGTAATTTTTTATAAAGAAAGCGTCAAAAGGAAATGATGGCCTATGCGTCAAGTCTGAAACAGAACTCTTAAAAGCAAAGATATGCTATGCTCACTTAAAATTAAGAAATACAGCAGTCTTACTTAAAATTTTCCAATATAGCTGCCCCTCTCTTGGCCAAGAAATCAATTATCCATTCCCTAATGAATCAAGCATTCAACAAAGCAAAATCATAACGTGAATCAAAAAGGGGAGAATATCCAAAATTTCATGATTTTACTCCTAGCCCACAAGCAAAACATCACATCACCTTCCACCCAAATATGCCTACAAACAAATACTTTGGCATGCTATACCCTTTCAAGCACACAAAAATCCCCAATTCACTGCATTGCCACAGCCTGGACATACAAAAGGAAGCAATAACCTTCCCATTGAAATCCTTACATATTGTCCAGTCTCAATTCAGCCTTGATTACCTGGGGAACCCCATCAAATTCAATTTCATGAATGCTGCAGCTGCCCTCAAAACAAATTCTACAGCCAAAGGCTGAGGCATTTGACTTGTTGTAGATGAGGCTGCCTTCAAATCTCTCTAAATTAAAAATATATGGCACACCCCCAAAATGGCTTCACTCCACAAATCCACAAGCATCTCCCTCTCCAAGTCCTCCCAAGGCCAAAGAAAGCCAATTTAAATCATCAACATGATGTGTACTAGAACATTTTACTCATGCAAACCATACAGAACAGGAAAGAAAACTCCTCCAGAAAGAAATGATACCAGAACAATGGAGATATAAAAGGACGCATGTCTCTTGATTTCTACATAAATCTAGGGTAGGGTTAAACGCTAAGTTTTGATCAAACCAGCCATAAAATATATTTACAAGCAAAAACTACATCTAAAGGTCCAACACCTCTTGTCCAAGAAAGTTCACCAATTTTTATTATCAAGGTCTCAAAGAAATTTGCGATTTCAAGAGCCCAGAGAATAGGAAGAAAGCGTACTGCCAATGTCAGCACTTTTAGACATTTAGAGGTAGTAAAGGTAAGGTAAAGAAAGAAAAAAATGGCATACACTTTCTGGCCAAAAAAAAAAACACGTGTGTTAAGATAAGACTTCAAGCTTCTAAGCAATGGATTTGCACAAGCCTCAAAAATTTGTGTCAAAGAAAATTGTTTACAAAGATCTTCTATTACCCCTTTCCTATAGAAGCGAAATTCCTTAAGGTACCATTATTCAATGCCAAGACACCTACCCTTCCTATGATGAGAAACAGCAATTCAATTCACCAATCCTTTGTTTACAAAGATCTACTATGTCTAGTCGTTCTTTTTTTAATACGTCGTATGCCCATTTACAACCACCAGAGTATACATTTAACTGAGGAGGATGTAAGACAGATGCAAGGATTTGGCGAAGAACCTTCCACAATGATTCGTAGGCCGCAGAACTAACAGTGAGGTGGTTGCTAAAGATAACTTTGGTGGTTTCAATAGCTTGTGGGCGGTTGGCGAAGATAGTGCATTTTGGACTAGGGCTCGGTGGGCGAGTTCACGAGTACGTATGAAGATGGAAGGCCGTGAACCGATATGGAGAGTGAGAATGGGGCCATGTTTGGTGCGTAGTCGGCGGAGGATGGGTTCCAAGTTGGAGAAATCTTAGGAGGATTTGAGAAGCCATAGTATGTTACCTAAGAAGCGTATGGTAGGGGGGCCTGACGGAAGTTTTTTAGTGCGTAAAAGACTTAGGAGGGAATGCAAAGAAATACAAAGACAGAGAGATGCAAAGAGTACGCACCAAAATTCCATCTCAAATTAAACAGGTAACAAACGACTAAAGGTTGACCTAGTGGATAAAATTTTCTTATCGAGTCTTATTGTCACGCTCTGTAACTTCTTCTTACTCTATTCTTCTCTTCAAAAAAACAACACATCAAGCACAAACTTACCAAATAAATATGAGAGTCCTTATGTTTGGAAGAAGTAGCATATGAAAGTTCTTTAATTTGCATATATAAATGCATATGGTTTCTTTCCTCTTCAAATTAATCACCTTTAATGCTTTGTCTCCTTAATGACACTTTAAAACCATTAATTTATTCATTTTGCACTTGAAAAACGTTACGATGTGCTTCATCTATTATATCTTAAAAGCAAGTAAAAGGGTCAAGTGGGATGATACTTGGTTCTATCAATATCCAACCTTATGACTTGACAATATTGATTTGATTCAGCAATCCTGTAAATTTTGTAAAGAAATTCTATAATATACACCACCTCACTTCTAGCCTTTGAATCTTTAAAAAAACTAAAAAATTGTTATTATTTACTATGTGATTTGTCATAGCAACATTGCAAATAAACAACCTATAAAGCAAATAGGGAAACCTCTTCAGCACACACCCTTCTACATAATATGAGTGCATATGGCACACATGCTAAGGGTTTCCTAAAACAAAAGTCAATATAACACTAAACAGAAGCACCCCTACATAGACTAGGCAAGAGAAAAGATAAAATGCCAAAAGTATACAAATGGCCTGTTTTACTACACACATGTATGGCCTGTTTGATCCAAAATTTCTCAAATTGATAAAAAGAAAACAAAATTTAAAAGCACTCCATTCCTAACTTTCATATAATTATCCTGTATGACATTTTCCCCACCCTCACTTATCAGGGGTTGGAGGTTCAAGCCTTACCACGGGTGAGGTAGGATGGAAGAGCATCATTGGTTTCTTTATGTGCCAAAAAAAAAAAAAAAAAGATGAAAACAATTTCAATAAATTGCACCAAACAAAGCCTCTATTGGATGCCACAAAAACAAGGGCCATTAGTGCAGAAAAGCACCAAACCCTTAACAATCAGCCAAGCTCAACAATTAGACTCATATCTCGGGATTTCGTTCTCCTATCCCCCTTCCTCCTCCAAAATTAAATTCCATTAGATCAAAGTATTACAAATAATATGTATATATCTTTCCATCAATTTAAAACGTCACTTCAGCAACTAAAAAAAACGTCACTTCAACAAGAAAAGAAAGCATGTGCCAATAAATTGAAAAGAAAGGAAAAAATTATATATTAGAAGAATAGAGCATAGATCTCAATCTCAACCGTCGTGCATCATTTTATTGAATTCAGGAGATTGATTTGTTTCCTTTTATTTATTATTAGGGTTCGTTCAGGCATTTTGGTCAGATGAGAGGACTCCAAACTGCGTGGGGTGGGGCTTCCTTTGTCTTTCCTTCTCCGAGAAAAGAAAGAATAAACGGCAGACAAAAATGCTTAAAATAAAAAAATAATAATAAAAGTACTTATATATATATATTTCTGCGGGAAATGTAGAAAAACTGGTTTTAGTGTAGTGTCACATTTTATTCACTACATACATTCTCATTGGTGTAGGATATGAGTTATGCGTGTTAGTAGCCTCATTAAAAAGTCCATGGCTCGTGGGTGACTTGAAGTAATTGATGTATTGAAATTTTAATCTATTTTTAATGTCAATTTAGTTTTTGCAGTAGTAGTTTAGATCTTATCAAAAAAAATTTGAACCAATAAGTCCCATTTGCAGGTAAAAAGACGTCCGACTGTTCGAACCCTCTAAGTTGATCAAACAAGCCATCTATTCTGGGTAAAGAGTATTTGTTCTTGACAGTAACTCAATTCAACTTGCGGTAATCGATACACAACCGCACTTTTTACACTCTTTTTGGCAAAATGAGCTTATAAGAGGTGCCAAACAAAGCATAGCATGTAGTTAAGCAGGCCTTTTTGAAAAATCCCATGTTTCTACAACATAACAAAAATGAAAATTTATGTATGCACAAGTATGCATGTACTATCAAATCACACGTTTCTAATAAAGATAAACATAAGATATTATTTTTGTGTATCCCTAATCTAAGGAAGTCGTCTTCCCTCCAAACGGAGAGACAACATAAAAAATAAAAAAAATAAAAAAAAGTACTTATATATATGTCTGTGGGAAATGTAGAAAAATTGGTTTTAGTGTAGTGTCACATTTTCTTCACTACAGACATTCTCATTGGTGTAGGATATGGGTTATGGGTGTTAGTAGCCTCATTAAAAAGTCCATGGCTCACGGGTGACTTGGGCCAAGTCTGACCTAACCTATCCACTCATGGCTTGATTTAGGCTCTAGTATGGCCTAGTATGGTCTTGCTTATAGGCAATTTTTCATATTAGTGTTGGGAGTTTTGCATTGATTAAATTCCTAATACATATAATCTTTTCATCCTATATATACAAAATAATTATCATACTCAAAATTTTGGGATAACTTGGGAATATGGTAAGAATGATGAAAAATGGACTGCGTATAAGGGAACCAAGTCTCTCATCGGTAGAGACTCTGACACTTTGACAGCAATTACACTAGTGATGCCATCGTAGTTGCTTTTCATTTTCCAACAATCTTAATTTTGGAAGGATTTTAATTTGTTGGTGACTTGTAATACGATTTTGTTGAAAATGTTTTGTTTTTTGTTTTAATGATTGTGGTTGTATTCTTTTAGTGGTAACGGGCTCTTAGTGTGGTAGAAATGTGGGAGTTAATTGGTGGCAAAAGGGTGCACAGGTGATACTGGTGGAGATAATAGAGTTGTATGTGATGCGTGATTGTTTGTTGTAGACAAATTGTTTGTGGCGTAAAGAATAGAGATAAAAGGGGAAATGATTAAAGTACACTTTACACTCATATGGCATTCGCATGCATTTTTATGACAAAATTCCTAACGAAAGTAATTTATTGGAATAAGTTGATACAAAATATAAAATTTATGGTGAAAATTGAGTCAATTAAAATTACGAAAACTAAAGTGAGACAATAGGTAAAGTATAAGAACTACTACCATAAAGAGTGATTAAAATTTTGTCTTTGACTAATCTTAAAATATACGTAATCCTTGAATTCTATATGAATTTTTAATTATTATTCTCCTTTTTGAAGGTTCAAACATATAATTTAAAGGTTGATTTGACAAATGAATTTTCAATAGTTATATTTTTTGTTTTTTTTTAAATTTATTTTACTTAAGTTGATTTAGTTGCCAAATGGTCATTGTTTTTTGTTATTAAAAATTTTAGGCGGGATTTTTACCCTCTTTTTTTTGGTGTTTTTTTTTTTAATTTGAATTTTTTTACAAACTATAAAAATTATTAGAAGTAAAAAAGTATACTAAAAAATTTAAAGAATTTAATAAATTATAGAAATTTCTTTTTTTAGCATTTAATAAACCAATTTAATCCGGTATTTATTTTTTACTTTAACAAATCAGATAAATAAGTCAAAACAAAAATGTCTTCTTTTTTTTTTTTTTTAGTTAAAGGTAGAACGTTGAGTGATTCTACTTATACCACCAAATAAACTCCTTACACCCATTTTCGTTTTACACCACACCCCAAAATTCCTCTCATTTTACACTTCTCATAATGCCAAACTTACTCTCATCTCTTTCATCCCAACATTCCAAACCCTAAGGCCCCGTTTTCTTTGGGTTATAGGGAGGGGATTGAGATTCGTAGTAAAGTGAGACCTACTAATATCATGTTTGTTTTGAGAGATGGAGAGGGGATTCGTAATCTCCTCCAGACTACGAATCCCCTTGGGGAGGGGATTAGGATAGACCCATGGGACTTGGTATTAGAAATTAGTTCGGCGGACTATTTTTTTTATATTTTTTATTACTTACATGTTGGGCATTTTTTTTAACATTAATGTTTAATTTTTTGTATTTTTTATTAAGTAAAAATCATTATTTTAATTGTTTTATTTTTTTTTTGGAAATTTTATTTTTATTTTTATTTTTTACATGTTGGCCATTTTTTTTTTTAACATTAATGTTTAATGTTTTTGAATTTTTTTATTTTTTTGCTTATTTTATATTTATTTTATATAAAAATAATTTAACAATCCTCACATTAAAAACTATCATCAAAACAAACACAATTTTACTTAATTCCCTCACTATCAATCCTCTCACTAATAATTCTCTCATTATCAATCCCCTTTATTCTACCTCTGAAAACAAACGGTGCCTAAGTCTTCTAACCACCACTTTCAGCAATTGCTCTATTTCCGGCAACCACAGTCACCACCTTCACAAACCTTCAACCATCGCAATCACTATTGTCTCAACCCCCTTCGCAACCCTCATTGCTATAGCCACCACTTCCTCCATTGTTTTATTGTCGTGACCATCACCACTGCCTCAACCACCCTATTCTGCAACATTTCCAGATCTGCTTTTCCACCACCATGATCCACTGCTAGAGCGAGAGAAAGAGAGAGAGACAGAAAGAGATAAAACCTAGGATTAGGTTTTCGAATGAGAGAAAAAAAAAAGAGAAAGAGTAGGAGGGAAACAGCAAAAGGAGATGGGGGCAACGGAGAACTATGGTAACCACCCGCTTCTGCAACACTTTCATATATACATCCCCACCATTGTAATCCACCATCACTGTGACTGTCATATTTCTACGAGAATAAGAGAAAGAGGCAGAGATATGAAAACCTATGGTTAGGTTTTTAGATATGGAATAAGAAGAAGAAGAGGGAGAACAAGGATGAAAGCGATGGGGTGAGGTGGTAAGAGACTGGGTGGCAATGGTTGGCGGTAAAAAGGCAGTTACAATGAAGGGCTAATAGAGGTGGTGGTGATGTGGTGTAATGAAAAATTAGGATTTTCAAAGTTTAAGGTGAAAGGATATTTTAGTAATTTTATATAAGAATTGAAATGTAAAAAAAAAATTAAATTAAAGAGTGTAATGAGTTGAATCATTAATTTAAAATATTAATAAAGTTAAATTACAATACAAAGAGGCCAATATATTAACTTGAACCTTAGACCTTCCACTCACCTTACTCTAAGGCGTGGTTACATGTTATTCGGCCGCAAGAATCTCGTCAAAAAAAAAAAATTTGTCAAATACCATACTTTTCAATACGAGAAAGAATTTTTTAAGCTAAATTGGAAAAAACAGAAGCCTCAACCTTGACAACTGGAATGGTCCGATTGGATCACGAATAGTATTCCCATCCCATACCACTATATAAATACCACTCCACCCAAAACGTTCTCCATCTCTGCGATCTAGGGTTTTTGAGTTTCTCTTCATTCCTCTCTTTCTCGATCTCCAAATTCCTATGCAATCTCCAATTTCTCTCCATATTCTACCAGGATTCGTTTGATTTTTCATCAAAATCGTTTTCTTTGCTTATTAATTCAATCAATTAGGGTGTTGGCAATTCAATAATGATAATCTCTTTCGTATTTCGCTTCTCATCGTCATCGCTGGTCACGAAGCTTCGCAATCTTCGAGTTCTCGGCCCTGGTTTGAATCCCTTTGCTCCCTACAACATGGCCAATCACTCCTCTCGTTAATTGTTTTTGCCACTCTTTTTTTGCGTTTTGTGTTCTCTCAACCATGTAAAAAAAAGCCTTGAAATATCTCATCTTCAGATCTTATCTATCGCTTCAAGTTCTATCGATAGGTTGAAGTTTTATCGATTAAAGTTTTAGGGTTTTGTGTAGTGAGTTAAAGATAAGATCAGTCTGGCTGTTTAAATCTGGAAATTTGAGGGTTTTCTTTGAATTTGGAAGCTTCGTAGTTTTCTGGGTCTTTTTAATATATAGGAACAGGTATGCCTCAGGACGACCAGTTGGGTTTAACTCGCCGGAGCAGACGCGTGTATAGGTCTGGGGGCGACAGGGACGATCGAGGTTGGACTCTGCTTCATATTGGTGCCCGAAAAGGTGATCTCAAGGAGGTATGTTTTCTTGCTTTTCTTGATTGTCTTGCTTTTCTGTTGATTACAGTAATAGGGTTTTCTTGATTATAATTTGTGTGCATGTTGGGTTTTTCAAATTTTATTTTTATAAATATGATCTTGTTACTTTCCCTTTATCAAAGAAAAGAGAAAAACATTCTTACTGTTTCAGTTTTTCATCAAGAATTGAATTGGTTATGAATAATTGAACCAAAGCAATTAGGATTTAAGATTGGTCTGGCTTCATTAGTTTCACTAGACTTAATAGATTTAATTTTTTATTTTTTATAATTATTTTGTTGTTTGCTCTATTGCATATTTAGTGTTGATGATGACAGATTGCATCATAATATATTTTCATTTTTGCTTAAAAATTTAGCAGGATACAAGTGGCCAAGGAGATTGTGATTCAATCACAAGAATTCCATCCCGGTTTGTATGTTAATTCCTGATAGGGTTGCACACTTGGACTAGTTAATGTGAAGACATCAATCAAATTGACCCATTTGGGTGTCTATTCAGTTTTATGAGGCTTTGCTTTAGTTTTGGGTTAGGAAGCTACTAACTTGATACAGTTTTGGTTTGTGTTTTTGGGCATGACATGTCCCTTTCCCTTTTTGTGTCAAGGAGGGAACAACGGATGATCTAGGACTAGGATGTGATTGGTGGTTTTGATATTTTCCTGGTTGGAAGAAGAGAGATATTTGAATTAGGATTTGTTAATAGAATGAACTTGGGGGGATGGGATATGCAGAATTTCTAGTCGATTCATGCGAGGGTGGAATTTTTTTTGCTCTTAAATACTGTACATGTGGGTATCATTTGTTTTTTAATTGATTCATCTTTATGTTTGTAGGTTAAGCGCCTTCTCGATCAAGGAATGGATGTGAATGTGGCTGCGTGGGGCGGCAAATCACAAGGGGTTACCCCTCTTCATCTTGCTGCAGAAGGCGGCCATGTCAAAGTTATGGATGAATTGCTTGATCGTGGTGCTAACATTGATGCCCGAACTAAGGGTGCATGTGGCTGTGAGTATTAAATGTTGTAGAAAATTTCAAAGTTGGAATGAATTTGATAGAAACTTGGTACTTTTTTTTTTTGCTTGGTAGATATAAACTCGTATTTACATGTGTATATGTAAACACACAATTCTATGATTATAATATCTATATCTTAGAAGAGATCTTTGGGCACTCACTCTTCCCTTCTCCAAAGTCAAAACCCCATATCCCTGCTAGTTTTTGTTCTGTGTATTAATCTCCTTGATGTGTGTCAAATCCAGGGACTCCGCTTCACAATGCAGCCAAAGAAAGAAAGAAGCAAGCAGTTAAATACCTAGTAGAAAATGGGGCATTCTTGCCAGATGATATGAATGACACCAGGTTTAATCCGCCACTCCATTATTGCCCCGGTCTTGAATGGGCTTATGATGAGTTGAGGCGTATCCAGCAAGAGAGCACGTCATCAAGCGAGGCCTCTTACAGTTCCGAAAGTTGAGGCCTTCTCAGTCCCCCTTCTCCAACAAGACAGCTCATCATCAAGCGAGGCCTCTTACAGTTCCAAAAGTTGAAGTCCATCTCATCCCCCACTTCCTGTATTACGGAGCATCTTTCATGCTGTGTCTTATATTCCTGTTGCTTGACAACGGACATTGGATGTGTTTGCCTTCTTTATCTAATCTGCTACTGCTGGATCTTATTTCGTGTAGTGTTTGGCTTTATTTCATCTGCTACTTCTGGATCTGATATTGTGTGGTGTTTGCCTTTTTTTTTCTCGTCTTATATGTTGATGACAGTGGATCATAAATAAAGAGTGTGTTCAGATGGTTGTCTTTCTCTAATGGCGATTAGTATTGTATAGTAGTTGGATGGCTGTTTTTTTGTCGTGTTAAAACTGTTTTGTGCATCTGTTACCCTTTCGTGGATGCTATTGCAGACATTGCATTGCTTGCTAGTGCTTCATTCATATCTTTGGATGGCTTGCTATTGGAGTTCAGATCCTCTCCTTGAGGATCCTCCTTCATTTCCTCCTTGCAACGGCTGAGATTAGCCGTTGCAAATCCAACAGTTACATAAAATATATATATATATATTAAAACAAATTCAATTTTTGTATCCTTGCCCAAATGTATATATAGGTTTAGCTATCATTCTCACACAGGTCCATTCGAGCTCAGCCCTTTTTTCCTCCACCGAACCTCTCCTTAACTGGCGACCACCCTCACCGGCGACCCACCCCCGACGGCGAGAAGCTCGTCAAACCCAACCGGCTGATGCCTTTCGTCGGTTCTCCTGACACAAGCAAGCTCTCTCTCTCTCTCTCTCACAGGAGTTTTTGATATGCAATGCTTCATGATCTGAACATAGTTCAACCTGTTTTGGATTTTCTTTGCCTTTTTTTCTTGTTTGAAATTTCAATGATAGATAGTTGAAACAGGGGATTGGAACAGTGGATTAAGAAGCATAAAAAAGAGCAGTGGTATTTTCAAAATATGTAACGGAAAGATTTAAGGTGAACAACCTTGAAGGGCTCATTGTCTGTTCTAAAAGAAATGCCAAGAACATATTTCACCCAAACAGGAAATTTCCTGTTTTCAAATAGAGCACAAAACAGAGATTCATTCATTCAATATATAATATAAATATAAAAGTACATTTAAAATAAAACAGATTACGAAATACATCCATGCATATATATCAAACAATATCCATGCATATACATCAAACAATAGAGGTTTTTTTTTTTTATATATATATATATATATCAAACCCACTAATTTTTTATTTTGTGTTTTTAAGTGGTGTAATAAGTTCAAGACAAACAACATTCATTTGCCAATTAATTCTTAAAACAACTTGGGTTTAATTAAAAAAAAAAAAATACAACAAATATTAAATGAATATTGTAAGTAATACCCGAAATTCCATTTAGCACATATCTAGGGGCCAATCCTGAGATGAAGATAAAGGCCAGCTTGTTGCACCAGTTTGATGAACTTAACCAAGGCTTGGTTGGTTCAACTGAATATGATTGTCTATGATCTACCGACGCCTTTCGTCGGTTCTCCTTACACTGGCAAGCTCTTTCTCTCTCTCTCACAGGAATGAGTTTTTGATATGCAATGCTTCATGATCTGAACCTAGTTCAACCTGTTTTGGATTTTCTTTGCCTTTTTTCGATGATAGATAGTTGAAACCGGGGATTGGAACAGTGGATTAAGAAGCAAAAAAAAAAAGTGGTATTTTCAAAATATGTAACGGAAAGATTTAAGGTGAACAACCTTGAAGGGCTCATTGTCCGTTCTAAAAGAAATGCCAAGAACATATTTCCACCCAAACAAGAAATTCCCTGTTTTCAAATAGAGCACAAAACAGAGATTCATTCATTCAATATATAATATAAATATAAAAGTACATTTAAAATAAAACAAATTACGAAATACATCCATGCATATACATCAAACAATAGAGGTTTTTATATATATATATATATATATATCAAACCCACTAATTTTTTATTCTGTGTTTTTAAGTGGTGTAATAAGTTCAAGACAAACAACATTCATTTGCCAATTAATTCTTAAAACAACTTGGGTTTAATTAAAAAAAAAAAAATACAACAAATATTAAATGAATATTGTAAGTAATACCCGAAATTCCATTTAGCACATATCTAGGGGCCAATCCTGAGATGAAGATAAAGGTCAGCTTGTTGCACCAGTTTGATGAACTTAACCAAGGCTTGGTTGGTTCAACTGAATATGATTGTCTATGATCTAAGTGTTTGATTGAATAACATTAATCCAAGTCAATATTGTCTTTGTTCTTGGTGCTAAAATAATTAAACTGATTCATAAACATTTATTCTTCCTGTTTGTTTTTCAGGTGGAACGCACTACAAATTTCGGTCATAGCAGCGGATAAATTTCATTGTTGCTGCTGCTGTCCATGTGTTGCTGATAAATTTCATGTGTGTAGCTGTCCATGTGTGTTGCTACCCATGTAGTGCTGCTGTCCATGTGTTGCTGCAAGTGTTGCTGGCCCTGGCCATATTTTGCTGCTGTCCATTTTTTGCTCAAGTGTTGCTGCCCATCTATTGCTGAAAGTGCTCGTGATGTGCTGCTACTGAAATAGTTTTTTGCTTAAGTGCTGCTGCTGAATTTTTTTTTTATCTTGTTTTATTATGTTATTTAAGTTCTTATTATGTTGCTTAAGTTCTTATTTTTTGTGTGAACATGTATGAGGTTGGATAATATTTGTTCTTCGTTGTTATGTTGGTTGGTATAGAATCTAATTAAAGCTTAATAGAAGTTGCTGAAATTGGCCTGAAATTAGTGTGTTATGGAACTACTGCTTACTACAGTTTTTGTTCTTGTTTTTATATGTTCTTTACGGATGGTTTATTTAAGTTCTTATTATGTTGCTTAAGTTCTTATTTTTTGTGTGAACATGTATAAGGTTAGATAATATTTGTTCTTCTTTTTTATGTTGATTAATATTTGAACATGTATGAGGTTGGATAATATTTGTTCTTCGTTGTTATGTTGGTTGGTATAGAATCTAATTAAAGCTTAATAGAAGTTGTTGAAATTGGCCTGAAATTAGTATGTTATGGAACTACTGCTTACTACAGTTTTTGTTCTTGTTTTTATATGTTCTTTACGGATGGTTTTGAATGGTTTTCTGATATAACTAGTTTGATATAACTAGCCGAAACAATTTGTATGTTGGAGCTTTGCATCATGTGATTGTTTGGATGATGGGTCTATATTAATGAGATGGGTTTTGTATTGACCAAGTCCGTCAGATGAATTTTAGAGTGGTATAAGCTCATCAAATATATTGACAGTCTTGTTTCATAAAGTATATTGACCCTGCCATACCTATCTATTCAGTGTATATGCTGCTACCCAGCTGCTCAAAATGCTGCTGCCATCTAAAGTCGAAACCATGCATATCGTAGAAGCATAATATACACATAGAAGCATTCCATATTGCTGCTGCCATACTCATGCTGTTGCTGCCACTTGCTGAAAATGCTGTGGATTTAAGCTTTGTAATGTAAAAACACATAACATGATATCTAAGCTTTGTAACAAATTTAACTTAAAACTAAATCAATATAAATTAATAATCAAGGAATAACTAGAGGAGCCCAAGCTGTGGATTTTAATTACAGGGCATTAATAGAAGCAAAAGGCTCATCAAGGTAAGGAAACTAATAAAGAAAATTGGGTATGGGCAATGAAGGACTCATGTTATGGCACTGTAATCCTACAGATAGTGGTTGCATTGTATATGCTATTAGCAGAAATTAGATCCTTGAAAAACATATTACTCTTCCTTTATATCCGCTGGAGCAAGTTAACCTTAAGCCATGATTGTTTTTTAACAACATAAACTAGATCCTTATGTAGAGACATATACGCATACCAAAACCAATGTACATCAATCTATAAGTCAATTATTAACAAAAACAAATAGGATTTCAAGTACCTACCTCACTTTCAGTTGCAACAACAATTTAGAGACTGTGTTTGCATCATGTTTTTCGTTTTCAGTTTTCATTTTTTGAGTTACGAAAGATACAATAAAAAGTTTGAACCCTGAGTTTCCAAAAACTGATAAAACAATTTAAAAATAGTTTCTTGAAAATAACTGTCTAAAGAAATTTTCCTCAAAAAACATTTTCTGAAAAACACTTCCACCAAATGCATCATCCGTCACTTTCGTCTTGAGAGCAGAAAAGTCTTCAACAGCTATACCAAATAAGCCCATGATACCACAGAAAAAGCCACCAGTTTGATATAATTTTTACCTGTTTGAATCCCAAATCAAAGCCCTAATTTTGAAATTTCAAATATCTCTCTCTCTCTATCTCTTTCTCTCTCTCTCTCTCTCGCGTCTCTATCTGTGTATTTATGAAATCAAATACAAAATCAAAAATAGGCTGAACCAGGTTCAGAGACACACAGAGAGAGAGAGAGAGAAAGAGAAAAAGAGCTTGCCCGTGTAAGGAGAACCAAGGAAAGGTGTTCACCGATTGGGTTTTAGGAGCTTCTCGCTGTCATCGGCGGTGGGTCGCCGGAGATGGTGGGTTCGGTGTAGGAGAAAGGGATTTCAAGTACCTACCTCACTTTCAGTTGCAACAACAATTTAGAGACTGTGTTTGCATCATGTTTTTCGTTTTCAGTTTTCATTTTTTGAGTTACGAAAGATACAATAAAAAGTTTGAACCCTGAGTTTCCAAAAACTGATAAAACAATTTAAAAATAGTTTCTTGAAAATAACTGTCTAAAGAAATTTTCCTCAAAAAACATTTTCTGAAAAACACTTCCACCAAATGCATCATCCGTCACTTTCGTCTTGAGAGCAGAAAAGTCTTCAACAGCTATACCAAATAAGCCCATGATACCACAGAAAAAGCCACCAGTTTGATATAATTTTTACCTGTTCGAATCCCAAATCAAAACCCTAATTTTGAAATTTCAAATATCTCTCTCTCTCTCTATCTCTTTCTCTCTCTCTCTCGCGTCTCTATCTGTGTATTTATGAAATCAAATACAAAATCAAAAATAGGCTGAACCAGGTTTAGAGACACACAGAGAGAGAGAGAGAGAGAGAGAGAAAGAGAGCTTGCCCGTGTAAGGAGAACCAAGGAAAGGTGTTCACCGATTGGGTTTTAGGAGCTTCTCGCCGTCATCGGCGGTGGGTCGCCGGAGATGGTGGGTTCAGTGTAGGAGAAAGGAGCTGAGCCCGAAGGGGGCTGAGTGAGAATGATATACAAAAAGCTACGTTTGGGTGGGAATACAAAAATTGAATTTGTTTTAATTTTTTTTAT